TCCTGGATAAACTGCCTACAAAAGCTGCATGCTGTGCACTTGCATTGCTTCACTAAGAGCTCAATTGAAGAGCTTTCTTTTTGAGTGAAATTTCCCAATTGTGAAAAGTAATCTTAAGCATACTCAATGCAGATGTTCCCCGTGTTCATGGTATTTCTAAAATCATACAAATTTGTTAATAAAAAGCAAATTACTACCCTCATATCTATGTATGATTTGTATAAATAATGTTTCATGCCTTTGGTAAACAAGTGAGTTGGCAGACTATATGATATACCTTAAAAACACATGAATATCATTAAAAAAGAGGTAAGATATACGCCATAGACATTTCTGACCTAGAACACTAATCCAAAAGATACCAACTCCTGATTGTCTTTCCCAAAAATGAGATCTTGTTTCTAAACTTTTAGAATTAGAGTAGCATATTCTAGTTATTTTTCACAATTACATATTCTACACATGCAATTAGTTATATGCATATGTTAATATCTGTTTAGAGGTGAAAGTGAAAAACGAAGCTCTAAAACATGCATTAAGAATGCATTTAGTCTATACTGCTTTTTCCTAAAGGGAACTTCTATATATTTTCATTCTATATAAGTTTATACATTATAAACTTGCATTTCTCTTGTAAGCAACAGTCTTAGTAAGTTAGTAAAGCTGCCGGCTTTCAGGACCTTCACTTACACAGAGAATGAAAGAGCAGAGAATGAGGAAAATAAGGATAACCGAGCACCTGTTTCTCTCCACCTGCATTTCCAAAGGTGTGGCGGAGGCCATTCTGAATGACATTTGAGATCCCTTCCATGCTGAAGCGCTACAGGCAGCAATATACGGCCCGGAAGAGAAGGACAGAGAAAGAAGTGCAAAGACTATTAGTAAGAATGTACCACAGTAACTTACGTGCCCAAGAGGCAAGCAGTTAGAAAATGCCACTACTCATTCAGATAAAGCAGACAAATGCATGCTGTTTTTAAAATGTTCTTGCTTCCATTTCTTTGCAAGTCAAATGCAAAAGCAATTGCTTTTATGCCACTGTATTCATGAAGATTTTTCCTAACATTTGCTCCAATGCAAACATTGCAAGTTGTACACATACTTGTTTTATGCAAAATTTACCATAGTTGTTAAGATACCTTTTGATATTGCTTACCTACATTTTATCAAAAGTCTGAAAACTTGGCATCAACAGTACGAGCATTTTCAGCCTGAGTGTGCATATTTCTACTGTAAGTTTGGAGAGCACTGATACGGCACTTGGCAAATGAAATGCTGCTGCTTGGAGAGCCAACTACAGCTTCCCACTTGCTCTCGGGCCACCTGCCACTGCCTGGGCGCAGAAAATGCGACCGGGAGGGCACAGTGGATCGCATGTGCCAGCCAGGCCCTAACTCTTCTGCAAGGACGTTTCCGCTCCGTTTCTAGGAAACAATTCCAGCTTATTTCTCCCAGAACCCCCAAGACTTCCTAGAATTCATGGCACTGAAAAGGGACTACTTCTTTCCAAACGTCTTCTCTTGATTTGTAGCCAGTCTACCATGTCATCAGACACAGTGAAAAGCGTCAGTGGCACCTCAATGGCTGCTGAGTCAAAAGATTTAGATTAATTCTTACACGATGACTAACTAAGGGGAAAGGCATCCTGCAAAGGAAGTTCAGTCCTGATTCACCGGATGGTTCCGTTCCCTGCAATTTCATAGGGGAAAGTTGACTCAGTAAAAACATTTGAGGAATCAAGATGAATATTTTATAAGTCTCCCAGGAACAGAAGAAAAGAAACCAAGGCAATGGTCTCTGCCCTCAAGAAATGTATAGTTTAGCTCAGTGGTTCTCAAACTGTGGTCCGGGGCATCCCCCACGAGGTCCCAGTAACCTTTTCAGGGGCCCATGAGGCTAAATTATTTTCTTAGAAATACTAACACATAATTTGCTTTTTTAAATCTTATTCTCTAAAAACTTAGAATTAAGTATTCCAAATGACTGACTGGATGCAGAAACAGATGTGAAAATCTAGCTGAATTCAAGTAAGCCAGGTATTAATGAGATTGACAAAAATGCAGAGCAATGCCATTGTGCTCACTAAACTTTTTGAAATATAGTTATTTTTCCTAAAAATAGTACTTATGTAAGCATTAATGAATTTCTTATTGGTATTTTAATGAATTAATATATATATATGTTGCCAAAGCCGGTTTGGCTCAGTGGATAGAGCGTCGGCCTGCGGACTGAAAGGTCCCGGGTTCGATTCCGGTCAAGGGCATGTACCTGGGTTGCGGGCTCATCCCCAGTAGGGGGTGTGCAGGAGGCAGCTGATCGATGTTTCTCTCTCATCGATGTTTCTAACTCTCTATCCCTCTCCCTTCCTCTCTGTAAAGAATCAATAAAATATATTTTAAAATATATATATATATATATATGTTAAACTCTTAAGAGTTTTAATTTCTGATATGATAAACATCGGTATATAATATATAACCTATAGAACCAAAATATGCCTATATATAAACAAAAGCGCTTTCAGGTCTTCAATAAATGTTACGAATATAAAGAAGGCCTGACAACAAAAAGTTGAGTAACACCGAAAGGCTTCCCCCGGAAGGAGCAGAGTGCCTGTATTAGTCACATGGCAGTGGCGCTGCTGAGACTCTGAGCACCACGTCGGACCAGCCTGTGGGAGCTGAGACAGCTCTGCTTCTCCCGAGTCGCCCTCCCTCCCCACCCCATCCTCCAGGCTGCGTTTTAGCAAGAATCAAGGTCTGGGCAAGACCCCTCGACTGCACATGCTTCACTCTGCTGACAGCGGAACTGTTACCTTAGACGGCACTGGCTTGTTTTAAAAGAAAAACCTACAGATTGTAGATTTTTCACATGCTGTCGTATAGTTTGATCACACTTTTTAAACACATTATCAAAAGAGATGACTTATTGTAGGCTCCAGAATCTATAATAAAAATAATAGGAAACTCTTTTTCAAGTAAATGTCAACTCATTTTAAATTTTAATAAAGATATTTATTTTCAAAAGCAACAAAACAAAGGGAAAAATACTTAATTTTCTATATTACCTAACTCCACTGTCTATAGGCACACTAAAACCAGATATAAATTCAGAAAATCTCAAGCAATACGAAAAGTTTTAGAATCCATGTATCAAGAAACTAAAGTACACTTTATAGTTGAGCAGCAATCCTAAAAACACTATCTTTATTTTTTGCTTTGCCAGCTGGAAATCTAATTCCTAATTCTGGCGGGGGGGGGGGACAACAACTAAGTGATACAAATTCTTAAATTCCTAAGACATATACGTAATGTAGTCTTCCTTACTAAGTGTGCAGCTGTCAATATTGCTGAGCCATTCAACTACTGGTGGTCTGACTACCTCTCAAAGATGACTTTCATGCAACCAGAGCTCCAGGCCTCATGGAAAGAAATGAAAGTGCAACCATATGAAGCCACAGTAACTTGGAAAAATATAAAACTAACAGCTGATCCTAGCGAAAGCAGCAAAGGAACCTCTGCCCTTTGCTGACAGGTGCTGAGTCAGGAGCTATGACAACCAGGCCCCTGCATCCTGACCACAGTGTATGGCAGCCGGGAGGTTCTCCTGCCTCCTGCTCCGCTGGGGAAAACGACACAAGACAATCAGAAGGCTCGTGGGAAACGCAAAGAAACAAAGCTCCGGTTGCCATCCACTCCCACCTCCCCAGGAGTCATAGTAACACTGTCTGCCTCCCCTGTATTTTCAGACTCTCCCTTCTCTACTAGCTCTTTCCCAGTGGCACCTGTAAACTCTCAACCCTTAGCCTCGTTCCCTTCCCCAGGGCTTCCTGAAACAGCTCCTCCCAGGTGGCATGTCTTTGATGCTGAGATCCACGGACACTTTTCCGATCTGAGACATGCTGTGAGCTCTCCTCCTTCACCCGCTCCCTGGATTCCCAGACACCACTCTCCCAGAGGCCCCACCCCACCCCCGCCTCTCTGGTGGCTTCTCTGAGAGGTGCCTCTTTCTGCGCTCATCTCTGTACGCCGGGGTCCCCAGGATTTTGCCCCTATTTTTTATCATGCACCCTCTCTGAATGTTCCCATTCAATAGTTCCGACTTTTGCCTCCATAAATCTAGTTTCACTTTGCTAAGATCAGTAAACGGCTAAGAACAGAGCCTGACACATGAGAAAAGCTCAGTAAACATAGCTGTCTGTATTGTAATGACCCCTCAGTCCCCAGGCCGACGCTCCATCCACTGTGCCAAACTGGCCAGGGCACAATATTTCTAAAACTCATTATATCCAAACTGAAATCACCCTTCTCTTTCCCACCAAAAAACCAAACAAAAATAAAAAATAAGCCCAGCCAGTGTGGCTCAGTGGTTGAGTGTCAACCTCTGAACCATGAGGTCACAATTCAATTCCTGGTTAGGACACAGGCCCAGCTTGTGGGCTCGATTCCCAGTGTGGGGTGTGCAGGAGGCAGCCAATCAATGATTTTTCTCTCATCATTGATGTTTCTATCTCTCTCCCCCTCTCCCTTCCTCTCTGAAATAAAAATAAAAATATATTTCAAAAAAATAAGAAACCTGTTCCTCCTTCAGCATTCTATAATTCTCATTCATTTACTCATTCTTTCAAAATATATATTGAGCCAGATGTTACTGCGGTATTACAGACTCAAAGTGAACACACCAGCCAAAACCCCTCCCACCCTCATGCGCTGACACTGCAGTGTAAGAGGGGCAGAAAGAGTAAAACCAGCACAGGAACTAGAGAACCACAGGCAGCGGGTGTCCTGCCGAGAGCTCCCACAGGGCAGCTACAAACTGGATGCCTGCTTTGTACTGAGAGGTCAGAGGAAAGTTCTCTGCGGAGGCAACATCTGAGCTGAAACATGACTTTACACAGCCTCCCAGATGAGCTACAAAGGACAATGGACCAAAAAGATCCTCTCAGACAACAAACCCAAAGCAGCTACGACCTAGGAGTTCCCTGTGCGGCCAGGGCGCAGAGTCTGCTACTCTCCAGCAGGACGTGAGACGGCAGCTCCTGACATGTCCCTCCTCGCTGCCTCCCAGTAAGTTTTTACTGCAGCGGCCCTGCCCTTCCCATCTTTGTGTGCTGACGTGTTAGGATGGGAAGCCTGCCCTTTGCACCATCAGGGGCTGCATCCAGGGTTGACAGGAAGGGCGGCCAGCCCCCCAAGATGGTGCCCTGAAGCTGGACACAGTCAGGGCTGATGATACCGCATACTAGTCGCTCCCTCTGGAAAAAGGGTACAGGTGTTCTGTCTGTATTTGCCAAGTCAGAGATGAGTGACCTGACCCTAACTCCTCCCTTCCCTGGTGCCCGAACCAATGCAGGCAACCTCCTTATATCGCTGAAATGCAACTCTCTCCCCATTCCTCCTGACACTTCCTTGCCTCATTCCTTCCCTGCATGACTGCCACGGCCTCCGAATCAACTCTCTGCCCCAGCTGTCTCCTTCCAGTTAGTTCTCTCTGGAACACTGACGTTACCCTTCCAAAAGGCAAATCCGACCGTGCTTAACAACCCACTTCAACATCTTTTTGGTTTCCCATAGCCTCCACATAAAGACCAAATGCTGCAGCGTGGCTTACAGAGCCATCCATTCTCTGGCTTCCATTTGGCTACTTGCACACCCTCTTCTTGACTTACTTCCTCTCCTTCTATCTTTCTCCCTCAACTTCAAGTCATAATGGACAACCTGCAGCTCCACAGGTGTCCCTAACCTGCAGCTCCCCAGGTGTCCCCAACCTGCAGCTCCCCAGGTGTCCCCAACCTGCAGCTCCCCAGGTGTCCTTAACCTG